GTGTAATGAGAGGGGCTGAGATTCCCCTCTGACATCAGCCAGCCAGTAGAGGGAGATCATGTGACCACACAGCGGCGCTGTGCAAGAAGGTACAGTATTAAGGATAATTTTCAAAAAAAAAGTAGTCAGTACTTTAAATCTTCCTAAACCACGGGGGATACAAGTTATTTACATTTAGAATAATTCCAGCCACAGGGCATAGAGGCAGGAGGGAAGGATATTGGCTCTCACTCACAGACTAGGAAATGACTGGCAGGGAGGGAGAGACTCTTAACACAGTAGGATGACAGAGGCACGTAAACTGACCACGGTATCATGGATCAGCAGTCATGATTACCGCGGTCAGCACACACAGGAACAGGCAGGATCAGCCACGTATTTTACATCATAGAATGGGAGAAATTACACTGCGGTAGCATTATGCTATAGATAATGCTTTAAAGGAACAGGATCACTTTTTATTTTTTAGGGTTACAGCCACTTTAACATACGCAGCATGAATCTACCAGTACTTATTGACTGACTAGAGAAACGTTCAGGATTTAACATACCCAGCATGAGTCTACCAGTGCTCACTGACTGACTAGAGAAACGTTCAGGATTTAACATACCCAGCATGAGTCTACCAGTGCTCACTGACTGGAGACTTCCTGGATTGAATATATCGGGCATGAATCTACCAGCAGCTGTTGCAAATGGTGTGCGAGTGTGTGTGTGGGGGGGTGTGTGTGGGAAGGGGGGGGGGGTCCTGTGCTGGCAAACAGCTTTTTTGTTGTCAGTGTCCATAATTCCTGTTGGCAGCAGCTATTCCAAAATCAAAAAAATAAATTTGGTAGTAGTAGTTCCTGTGCCAAAGCTCCACCCAGGTATTCCGTTATCAAATGGTATAGCCTCTACTTGCCCATTGAAGTTGGGGATAGGGTTTAATTTCAACTTGGTCAAAAGTTGAGTCTTCATGTACTTCAGGTCTTATGATGCAAGAGACTACAGGTAAAACTTTTTTTTTGCAGTTTGGATAGAGTAATGGACGGTTATAACCCATCAGTTTTTTGCCATCTCTGTCCCATTGGGGAGATTTTCCTCCACTTCCTGCCCCATTGCCAAAAAAGGATGTGGGAGAAAATCCCTCCAAAGTGAGGAAATCTCTGGGTGTCAGTAGGGTCACCAGAACTAGTGTTCCCATAGGAAGACTTCTTCTCTATTTCTGTTATGGTGACAACCCAACATTTGAGAGTTTTTACTTTGGGCGGTAACAGTAACCAGGACAAATACAGAAAGTGAATCTCCAAAACCTGGACAAAAATAGCAATAAAACCTGGCAGGTGTCCTATTCCCTCTCTACTCTATCCAAAACGGAAACCAGGTTTTGCCTTTAGTTATACTTAAGGCCTTGTTCACCTGGGCTTCAGCATTTAGTACAGCAAGTTTTTACAAAGCATTTGCAGAGCTTTCAGCAAGTACCATTTAAGTCCAATTTAGGAAGTTATAGACAGATATCAATGGGAATGCCTTGCTGTCATATTAAACAAGTTGGCTTCAGTAAAAGCTTCAGCACTAATGCAAGCTTGCTGAAAGCCTTCTAGCAGTTTGAGTGAAGTACCAATCAGCCCTCCCAATAGGATCTTTGTATATTTTCCAAAGTAGAGCGGAAGGATGCTTTAAAGGTTTCAAGAAATGTGCTGGAAGCTTGCTATAAGCTCCATAAAGGCTTGCTGTAAACCCTTCTCTTATACAAGCTGAAGCCTGAGTGCCTGAAGCACTTAAAGCCTAAGTTCAGCCAAAATAAACACAAGAATCAGTACACAGGACATTGCTTACAGTCAAGTAGGTTGTGTCCCTCATGCTAATGCCTCTTCTGTTAGGCGAATCCTCCTGTGTCCTTGCCCCCCTGCCGCCCTAATGTTCCAGTGCGGTGGGGTTAATAGAACTGTAGGAGTTGTCATAGGATCTCATCAAGAGTGCTGGACTATGACCTCCCTTTTCCACCATTCATAGAAGCTGTACTACAGTTTCGTTGAATGAAACACAATTTATAAATGGAGGAAGGGCAGATGATTGAAAGGTCTGCCCCCTATAGCCATACTATAGCTTCTATGAATGGAGCAGCTGGGCAGAAAGGGCAGGCATAGTTGGACAATCTTGATGAGAGTCTGACAGCTCCACTGTACCAGAAGATTATGGTGGTGGGGTGGGGGGTCATGAAAGGAGGATCTCACCTAAAAGAGGCAGCATCAGCACAAGGGACAAATCCTGACTAACTGATGTCCTGTGTGCTGATTTTTGTGTTTCTTATTTTGGCTGCACATTGGCTTTAAAGTCACCACAAGCAGCCTACACTTTAGGAATGTTACGTTTAAAAACACTTTAGGCCAGGTCAGGTCCAATTTAGAATCATGAGTTATACTCCCGTACAAGATAATTTACTGACACACGTCTCCTTTTGTTCAAACATCACTCTTGCAGCTTTTGAAACTCTGTATTTTTAAACATTTAAAAAAAAAAAAAAAATCATATACAGTTTTTAAAAAGAGAAACAAATTTAATTTACACAGAAGTACTAAATGTACATCATTCTTTAAAAAAAATCATTCTACATTATAAATACAGTAGAAATTCTTTTATAGTACTATATTTAGACCATAACGTTGGTTTAGGGACTGGAAGGGTGAAAGATGATGTGGGGGGGAGAGGGAGCGCGGTAATGTTTTTTTTTTTTTTTCTTAAAACATTTTGCGAATAGAAATAAATACCGAAACTGGCGAGAGGTTATTACAGTAAGGAGTAGACTGTAACAATACGTCTGTCTGGATTAGGGAGGTTTTGCTTTGCCGGCGACTGACCAAGCATGAGAAAATATTCTAACAGTTGATGACGGAATCATGAATAATATTAAAATTTACTATGACCCGTCTCCATAATCAAACGCGGAGACATCATGACAGGAAATTAACACTCGTATTAAAGTTCCATAACCTTTTACTTGCCTTGGTCTGTCATATTACTTTAGATCTATTTGCTGTTTTCAACTGGCTGTCCTATTCCAAGCACCCAATGGGGAAGGAGGACTTAAACATGTGGGTGAAGCAGCTCGTTCAAGTGATGAATGTGTTAATGCTGAGGAAGCGATACAATTGGCACACCTGCCTAACGGAAACATTGGTAGATCAATAGTGTCCACTGTTATCCATGTGCAATTCATACCCTACCAAGTTACGGCAATCACAGCCCATTAAGTGATTAATCTCCACCCAGGGCCCAGCTAACAGAGGACAAAGATAAAGTAATTTGTTGGGAAAGAAACCTTTTGTCTCCCTTGTTGACCTTCTTCTGGCCTCATGTTAATATTCTGGTTTCAACACCTTCTGAGTCCCTCACTGACAACCATGAAACTAGCATTTTTGGAAGAAGGTCAGCAATAGCAAACTTTATGTTTGCTAAAAGTTGTCATGGACATTTGCTGCATTTTCAACAGAGTAAAGTCCAAAGAAGCAGCTGGCAACAACGGGTGAATCTTACTTTACTGCAGATTAAAGCTCTTGGACTAGAGCTTTTTAGGTTGCCCACACAGGGCTGCCTAATAATCAGACCCGTGTAAGTGACTTACGCGAAGAGACGTCCACAGTGCCTGTTGCTGCCCAGAGTCATTTTCTGCTGCTATGGATCAGGAGGATCCTTCTGGTGAACGTCCTACAGTCAAATATTGCCCAAGTTATTAGAATGCCACAATGTGACACGGAGAAAGAACACTCAGTGCTTACCATTTTCATTGAAGATTGACCTGTCTATAAGGAATCCTACCTTTCTCCATAACCTGGCTATTATTACATTGATCCATAAACGTCATTACTCTTGCACATTTCTTCTAAAGGATGCAACAGGTACGAGGGGACTGGGTTGCCCTATCCAGCACAGACGTACTAGTACAACTCCATGTCAATGTAGAAGTTACCTTGTTTGGATATTTACCACCCCCATGTCTCAGATGGTTACCCCTTTACTCTTGATGCACCCCCAAAACAAAACAAAAAAGTGAATATTTTTCATGTATAGCGCCATCGTGTGCACTGTGCATTCATTTGCTATTTTCCCAGATAGGAAAATAATAATAATAAAAAAATACAACACAGAACATAAAAAATCCCCTGACTTTGATGCTTGAATAACTTAAAGAAATATCATTACAATAAACTTTAATACGGTTATTTTGAAGTCAGTCCCTTCAGTTTCCTCCTTAAGGGCGAAAGTTTTTTTTATTCCTTTGTAATTTTTTTTTTGACAGTTCAAGTTGAGATGAGAAAAAACAGATGGAAGGAAAAAAAAAAAAAAAAAAAAAAAAAAAAAAAAAAAAAAAAAAAAAAAAAAAAAAAAAAAAAAAAAAAAAAAAAAAAAAAAAAAAAAAAAAAAAAAAAAAAAAAAAAAAAAAAAAAAAAAAAAAAAAAAAAAAAAAAAAAAAAAAAAAAAAAAAAAAAAAAAAAAAAAAAAAAAAAAAAAAAAAAAAAAAAAAAAAAAAAAGAAAAAAAAAAAAAAAAAAAAAAAAAAAAAAAAAAAAAAAAAAAAAAAAAAAAAAAAAAAAAAAAAAAAAAAAAAAAAAAAAAAGAGAAAAAAAAAAAAAAAAAAATAAAAAAAAAAAAAAAAAAAAAAAAAAAAAAAAAGTAATAGGGAAGGAAAAAAAAGAAAAGACAAAAAAAGTTTTGAAGGCAACAGATCACCAGTTGAATGTGTCCTTTGAAAAGTTCTGTCTGGGGAGATAGCCGGCCTGTGCCGAAAAGTTCCAACTTTCCACCTAAAAAACGGCACAATTTCTCCACGGAACCACTTGCCGCACCGTGCGGACAAATGGGGAAAAAAGGAACGAAAATTGAGGCTTAATCTGAAAATGCGTGCCCTCCTGTCTCCAAGTACTGCGGCGGCTCATGTCCTGCTCAAGACATCATTGTTCATCTCCCCAGCCAATTTATTAATTTATTTCTCACGGCTCGCTCGCTCAATTCCTTCCCCTGTTATCTATTTAACGTCCTGGCCCCCAGGCCGCCGTTGTGGTTGGGGGTAAGGTAAGAGTCTGTGCGGTGGACTGGGGAGGAATAGGGAGAGGAGGAAGAGGAGTGATGGTACGAAGACTGGGCTGAGGAACGCAGAAGAGCGTTGGAACCTCCACCGCTCTGGGGCTGCTGTAGGTTGAGGATACTGTCGATGGCGCTCTGCAGGTGCTCGTTTAGAGTGTCATCCTGGGGGCTATCACTGGAGAAGCTGGCGTTGTCCACGTCAAACTGCTCTGACTTCAGCCTTTTAGCTGATGGAATTGGTATCTCCCAATTCAACTCAGACTCATGGTCTGTTGGTTCTGACTTGACCACCTGTCGGAAAAATCCTGGCTCATCGTCCTTGGCCTCTCTTCTCAAGCTCATGGTTGTCTCTTCATTACTATTCGTCTTAGTTTCCCCTCTGCCAAAGAACACCAGCTTTGAGCTTTCTTCTTTCTTCACCTTTTCACTCTCTGGGACTCCTTGAACCTTGTGGGATGTAATGACACTTCTGGATCCATCTTCTTGCTTAATAACTGGTGCTTGTGCAGGTGTTTCGACTGCTGACCTGGTGTCTGCCGGCTTACCGGTCACAAAGGCATCCACGTTCTCCCGATACGTCTTACGAAGGGGTAGCCTACAGTATGTTGTCAGGGGCTTCTTTTCAACAGGTGATGAGTGGTCAAGCGTACCATTCATCTGCCCAGTGGGTGTGGTAGTTGAGGCTGGGGTCGGGTTTACAGTTGTCTTGATGACAGTGCTGGCGGGTGTTGTGGGAGGGGCAGGAGGTGGAGGTGGTGGTGGAGGGTTGTGATGAACGGGGTCTAGAGCAGTATTATGGATGACTTTGCTCAGCCCTGCCTCCTGCTTGATCTTCAGCTTCAGCCCAATACGACTACGGGCCTCGTATGTTTTGATTGGGGGTTTGCTGCGTGAAGGGAGTGCATCCTCATCTGCATCAAGCGATGGTGAGGCTTTGGCCCAAGTGACAGAGGGGGAGCCCCCACTGCTGTGCTTGATCACTAGCTTGGTAGGGTGTATTGGTGTGGAGGTCTGCACTGCAGTGGGTTTCTGGGTCTCTGCTGCAGGGGCAGGACACGGTGAGGAAGAGACGGAGGCCACAGAAGGGGTTACAGTCAGAGACCGGGAAGAAGAGGAAGAGACATATTCATCTGCAGAAGAAAGAGGGACAGAGATATCAAACATTTGTCAGAGGAATAAATCTCTTCTTGTACACAATTAAAGTGAGACTTTTTAAAACCCAAAAACAATTCAAATACACACACACACACACACACACACTGGGTAAAATAGGTATTGAACACATCACCATTTTTCTAGGTAAATATATTTCTAAAGGTGTTACTGACATGAAATTTTCACCACGTCAGTAACAAGCCATGCAATCCATACATACAAAAAACCCAAAACCAACAAGTTCAGAAATTAAGTTATGTGTAATAAAATGGAATGATACAGGGAAAAAGTATTGAGCACGCTAACTGAAATTTATTACTTTGTACAAAACCCTTTGTTGGTAATGACAGCTTCCATACGCCTCCTGTATGGAGAAACTAGTCGCGTGCATCACTAAGGTGTGATTTTGGCCCATTCTTCCACAAAAACAGGCTTCAAATCTTGAAGGTTACGTAGGCCTCTTCAATGAACTCTGATCTTTAGTTCTTTCCATAGATTTTCTGTTGGATTCAAGTCAGGTGATTGGCTGGGCCATTTTAGCAGCTTTATTTTCTTTCTTTGAAACCAGTTGAGAGTTTCTTGGCTTTGTGTTTGGGATCATTGTCTTGCTGAAATGTCCCCCCTCGTTTCATCTTCATCATCCTGGTAGATGGCAGATTTTTATCAAGAATGTCTTAGAACATTTTTCCATTCATCCAACCTTCAATGACATGAAGTTTGCCAGTACCGTATGCTGAAAATCATCCCCACACCATGATGTTCCCACCTCCATGTATCACTGTTGGTATGGTGTCTTTGAGGTGATGTGCAGTGCCATTTGACCTCCAAACACGGTGCGTATTATGGCATCCAAAGAGTTCAATTTTGGTCTCATTTGACCAGACTATATTCTCCCAGTATTTCACAGGCTTGTCTAAATGCTGTGTAGCAAACTTTAAATGAGCTTCAACATGCTTTTTCTTCAGCAGTGGAGTCTTGCGTGGTGAGCGTGCATAGAGGCCATGGTGGTTGAGTGCATTTTCTTTGAAGCAATTGTACCTGCTAATTCCAGGTCTTTCTAAAGCTCTCCACAAGTGGTCCTTGGCTCTAATAATTATTTTTACTCCTCTATCAGAAATCTTGCGAGGAGCACCTGGTCGTGGGTGGTTTATGGTGAAATTATGTTCTTTCCACTTCCGGATTATGGTCCCAACAGTGCTCACTGGAACATTCAGAAATCCTTCTGTAACCAATGCTATCAGTATGTTTAGCAACAATAAGGCTGCAAAGGTCTTGAGAGAGGTCCCTGCTTTTATCCATCATGAGATGTTTCTTGTGTGACACCTTGGTAATGAGACACCTTTTTTATAGGCCATCAGTTGAGACTGAACCAGCTGATATTAATATGACCTGACAAGGGGCAGGGTTGCTTTCTAAATACTGATAAGTTTCAGCTGGTGTCTTGACTTTCCATGCCTTTTTGCACCTTATTTTCTTCATGTGTTCAATACTTTTTCCCTGTGTCATTCTATTTTATTAAATAAAACTTGATTTCTGAACGTATTTGTTTTTGTTTCCTTGTATATATGGATTGCATGGGTTGTTACTGATATGTGGCGAAAATGTAATGTCAATAGCATCTTTAGAAATATATTTACTGAGAAAAATGGTGACGTGATCAATACTTATGTTACCCGCTGTATTTAATATATATACACACACTGTACATCCTACATAACTATGACATACAAGCCATTTTATTATTTAACACAGGGTATGGTTGTCAACTGCAACAGGAAGAAATGCCCAGGAAGTAATGGCAAGGGGATTATAATTTGGTGATGGGGCCCCTTTGGAATATTACGGTCACAGGCCCACGTAAACCCAAATATTGAAATTCTCTTCTTTGTCCCCTTTTGGTCAGGTAAATATACCATTGAAGTGCTTCAATATATCTGTTGAATAAGTGCAAAAAACACTGCTTGATTTTGCCAGAAATCTTATGAGTGTTTAATTTCTTCTACTCTCTGCCAGAACACAAGGAGGGCTTATGGATATAAGGAGATGACTAGAAGTTTGTGTTCTTTGTAGTCCATCAGAAATGAAGTAGGCAGGGCTGACACCATGTGTTCAGGAAGTCAGAGATATACTGTCACGGCAAAGAGGAAAGTATAAGGCTTACTACATTTCTAGCACATTATTTTTCTGAACCCGCAACATGTTTAGAGGAATAAAACTTAATATAAACCAAACAAAAATATTCAGTTAAAAATATTATATACGCCATAGTTTCTTATAATTATTAAATGGAGACATAATAGTCAGACATTGTGCTGCCTCCTACTGGTGAAGCTGGAGATGGGAATGTGGAATACCTGGTCTCTCTTTTGCCAACTGCCGGTCCAGAGACAAAGCAACTTTCTCCTCCTGAATAAACATTCTGTCGATCATTACCATCTCCGCAGAAGGACTCACTCTCTGTTGAAGGAGAGAAACAATGGTAAAAACAGCGCACTAAATCACACCATATGCAGTGAATAACTGAAGATGACTCCCGTGTATGCAGCTGCCTCCTAGGCCATCAGTGACCCCAGCACTGATGCAGAGGGGCAGGGGAGGGTCAAACTAGGATTCTGTGCAAGCAGCTGACATCCTCCTTATTAATGGATGATGTCATTTCGTTGTCAGGATGCCGGCGGCTAGAAGGTCGTAATGGTACACAATGAAAACCTGTGGCTTCGTGTAACTATAAGGCAGGCTTGTTCCACCCAAGGCCTTCTATACAAGTTTTGGGCAATTTAGACATTTTGCCAAGGCACCCCCTGAAGAAACCTCAAGGCACCCCCTGAGCACCCTGGTTAAGAAAGGCTGTATCAGACAACCCTCAAAAGAGTGCTTTTCTATAGTGGATTTTATTTTGAGAAAGAGAACCTCCATATGAATAAGTGAACCAGTCTATGTTGGACCGACAGGAGGGTGAAAGTGCAATCATACTCACCCTGGACTCCTCTAAAAGCAGCAAGCGATACTTGTTTAGCATGGCCTGGGTGCGCTTCAGGAGCTGAGTAGACACAGTCTCAAACTCATCATCCACTAAAAAAAGAAAAAAAAAAAAGTTTTTTATTCATATATGGACAAACCAAACAAACACGATACATAAAAAGAGTGCAAAAAAAAAAAAAAAAAAATCTCAGTAATGGAAATCAATCATCTTCCAGTTGTTATTTCTACAGTCTAGGACCAGAAAATAAAACAAGGACTCTGATTGGTTACTACTGGCAACATATCTTCTATTTAGCATATTTTTAGGCAGCTCACAGAACTAATGTGGGAGACATCAGATATATGCAGTTATAAATGTGAGCCCCTAAATGGATTGAGTATACCATCAGACAGAAGATATAAAACCGGGTCCCACCTTTCTTTAGGTCATGCGAAGTGGGAAGCAGACCCTGGTACACGTGGTAGGGGAGAAGTCTGTGCAGAGCATCTTCAAACGAGTGGAAGGGTGTCTTGTAATCTGGGTGCAAGACTGAGCCCTGGTGTTTATGTAGCTGCTCCAGGAAACTGTGAAAACAGCACGGTGTTAATAGTTATAATAAACAATTAATGAAGGGTTTACATAAAAGATTTCCAGCCAATCTTGCTTTTCATACCCTTATGCCATAAGTGCTGCCAAAAAAGGACTTTCATGCCAGCTTGACAGTTCCTTTGCCATCTGTTTGCCCAATGGTCAGCGATTCCAATGGGTGACGTTTACTCAAAGCCAGCAAGAAGGTAGGGGACACAAAAAGCTACAAAGCTAAAATAGGAAATAATGGTGTCTCCTGTCTGGCTATGCAGTGTAGCAGAGATGCACCAAATTAGAGATCAGCATCTGGCGGGTGAATACATTTTCAAATGTCATCTAGGTGTCCACGCTATTTGATATTAAATACATTGTTTAGGGAAGTACATAAGTTGGGGGTTCCAAAGTAACATCACACTAACAACTTTAAGCAGAGTTTTAAAAAAAATATTTTGAGTTCTTTTAGTTGCATGCTAACATTGACCAAAATACATTGAGGTTTTCCTTTAAAAAAGAGAATTTAAATACCTATATTCACCCTAGTCTATATTGTCCTATATATGACAAGCTTGTTGGCGCCCTCTGCTGTACAAGATAGTAACAGCAAAAAATATAAATACATGGCATGCTCACCAGGCTTCTTTGCTTGGCTGTAGTGTTTGAAGTTTTTTCAGCGTTCCAAATTTACTATCAAACTGAAAGCAGAACAAACACAGAAAACATGACAAATGGGTAACAGCATGAGGACACCAGTTCTACAGGCGACATCTATTCCACTCCAAGGATATTTCAGCAATAGTTCAGTCTCTAAATTTTAAGTCAGGGGATCTCAATGTTTCGGGCGAGAGAGAGAGAGAGAGAGAGAGAGAGGGGGACGAGAGAGAACGGGGGCGAGAGAGAGAGAGAGGGGGGAGAGAGAGAGAGAGGGGGCGAGAGAGAGAGAGAGAGGGGGCGAGAGAGAGAGAGAGAGGGGCGAGAGAGAGAGAGAGGAGGGGGCGAGAGAGAGAGGGGGGGGGGGGCGAGAGAGAGAGAGAGGGGTCGAGGAGAGAGAGAGAGAGGGGGGGGGCGAGAGAGAGAGAGGGAGAGGGCGAGGGAGAGAGAGAGGGGCGAGGGAGGGAGAGAGGGGCGAGGGAGGGAGAGAGGGGCGAGGGAGAGAGAGAGGGGCGAGGGAGGGAGAGAGGGGCGAGGGAGAGAGAGAGGGGCGAGGGAGAGAGAGAGGGGCGAGGGAGGGAGAGAGGGGCGAGGGAGAGAGAGAGGGGCAGGGAGAGAGAGGGCGAGGGATAGAGAGGGGGGGCGAGGGAGAGAGGGGCGAGGGAGAGAGAGGGGGGCGAGGGAGAGAGAGGGGCGAGGAGAGAGAGAGGGGCGAGGGAGAGGGGAGAGGGGGGAGAGAGGGGGGGAGAGGGGAGAGGGAGAGGGGGGGCGAGAGGGAGAGGGGGGGGCGAGGAGGGAGGGGGGGGGCGAGAGAGGAGAGGGGGGGGGAGAGAGAGAGGGGGGGGCGAGAGGAGGGGGGGGGAGGGAGAGGGGGGGCGAGAGAGAGGGGGGGGGGCGAGAGGGAGAGGGGGGGGGGCGAGAGAGAGAGAGGGGGGCGAGAGAGAGGGGGGGGGGAGGGAGAGGGGGGGGGGGGAGGGGGGAGGGGGGGGGGGGAAGGGGGGGGGCGAGAGAGGGGGGGGGGGGGGAGGGGGGGGGGAGAGAGAGGGAGGGGGGGGAGGGGGGGGAGAGGGGGAGGAGGGAGGGGGGGGAGAGAGGGGGAGGGGGGGAGAGAGAGGGGGGGGGGAGAGAGAGGGGGGGGGCGAGAGAGGGGAGAGGGGGAGAGAGGGGAGAGGAGGGGGAGGGGAGAGAGGGGGGGGCGGGGGGAGAGAGAGGGGGGGAGGGAGCGAGAGAGGGGGGGGGGGGGGGGAGAGAGAGAGGGCGAGGGAGAGAGGGGGGGGAGAGGGGAGAGAGAGGGCAAGAGAGAGGGCGGGGCGAGAGATGGCGAGGGGAGGGCGAGCGGAGAGAGAGAGGGCGAGCGGGAGAGAGAGAGAGGGGGAGCGGGAGAGAGAGAGAGGGGCGAGCGGGAGAGAGAGGGGGGGGCGAGCGCGAGAGAGAGGGGGGCGAGAGAGAGGAGAGCGGGGCGAGAGAGAGAGCGAGAGAGAGAGGGCGCGAGAGAGAGGGGGAGAGAGAGAGAGCGCGAGAGAGGAGAGAGAGGGCGAGAGAGAGAGGGGAGAGAGAGGGGGGGAGAGAGGGGAGAGAGAGAGGGCGAGAGGGGAGAGAGAGAGGGAGAGAGAGGGCGAGAGAGAGAGGGGGCGAGAGCGGGGGGGGGGAGAGGGGGAGAGGGGGGGAGAGGGGGGCGAGCGCGAGCGAGAGAGAGGGGGAGAGCGCGAGCGAGAGAGGAGGGCGAGAGCGCGAGAGAGAGAGGGGCGAGCGAGCGGGGAGAGAGGGAGGGCGGCGAGGAGGAGAGAGGAGAGGGGCGAGCGCGAGAGAGAGAGAGAGGGCGAGCGCGAGAGAGAGAGAGGGCGAGCGCGAGAGAGAGAGGGGGCGAGCGCGAGAGAGAGAGGGGGCGAGCGCGAGAGAGAGAGGGCGAGCGCGAGAGAGAGGGGCGAGCGCGAGAGAGAGAGAGAGGGCGAGCGCGCGAGAGAGAGGGCGTTCAGAATCTGATGCAGCTGTGCATGGTAGCCAATCAACTTCTCATTTCAGCTTGTTCAATTAAGCTTTGCAATAAATCCTGGAAGCCGATTGGCTTCTATGCACAGCTGCGCCTTATGTTGCACTCTCCAGGTTTAGTACATAACCTCCACAGAGTTTATACGCCAAGAAATCATGTTTTAGTGTTGATTGACTTACATCTCCAGAATCTATATGAATGGACATAGTATGCATGGCTTTGTTATCGATTATAAAGTAACATACTCCATTACCATCTCAGCCTTAATTTGAACCCACATTATATATGACTGGTACCCAGAGCCTGCACTCCAGTCACAGACCCCAACCCACCATTCATGGTATTGCTCATTTACAAATCTTTTCTTCCAGAAAGGAAGCCCTCTGATATCTGAAGTGATGGGAATGGTGGACTGTCTTGTGCTCTTATAGGGGGAAGCAGACTAGTGACCCTAAAAAAAAACTTGTACAGCTGGAGGTACACCCAGAGTTTACTGCACCTGTTTTTTCTTAATGGAACAGTCACACTGTAGATCCTCTATGGCCCTGGTGGTGCCCAAGGATACCCTGCAGTATTTGTTGTGTGACCCACTGTCTTCAGCAATCTGTAGTGGGAGCACCGATTTGTAATGGGATAATGGCATTGATCTCTGCTAGACTCCTGTAACTCATCCTCAGACTGTCATGTCTTCAACATATCTGCTGTATCTAACCAAACCTGTAGCACACATGTCAAACACAAGGCCTGCGGGCCAAATACTGCCCTTCAAGCCATTTCATGTGGCCCTCACACTTCTCCTGCAGTTACGGCACCCCCATCATCTCCACCCCCACCTTGTCTCAGCAGTCAGCAGCAGAGAAGGCGACCAAACTCCTCCTACAGTTCCTGCCCTTCTCTGGGCAGCTGCAGCCCCCCACTTGTCTTTGCCTCCCCTGGTCTCATCATTCAGCACCTTCCAGCCCCTATCTGGTGCTCCCTCAGACCCTGCACTTTCTGCTTACCTGCTCTGCCTCCAGCTTCTTTCCAGTAGCTGGTAGATAGAACTAGCCCTTTAAGGGCAACCATAATACTTATATGGCTCACGGTGAAATTCAGTTTGACATCCTGCTGTAGCACATCTGCAGTTTCCAATCAGCATTTCCTCTAGTATGCCTGCAGTCGCTAAAGGCCCTTTTTAGCATTACAAAAATGAAACATTATATGTGGTCTTTGGTTGATGCCAAGGGCCACAGTTTAGGCCCTCCTATAACCTGTAAGTTGACGATCAGTGCTCTATAGTAAGGATCAGGGCTCATTCCAGCAAAAGGTAGAGATTATTTACAGTAGAGGTGGATTGACAAAGGGTACGGATAATTTAGTCAAACTGTGTACTCTATAATGTATTCTTTATTGTTCAAGTATGCAGCCCGTGGATTCTTTGCTAACAATATAGCTAGGCGTAGGAGGCCTCCTGTACATAAGAATGATCAACAAATCTGTCAATGAATATGAATTTGATCAACGTCCTCCTTTAATCGATATTGTATCTCCAGTTTTAAAACCTGAAACTTAATAATGCAAAAACTCAAGAAATAAAAAGCATCACTGAAGAATTACTACAGCAGTTGTCTCACGAGGTTTCTGTTTTAACTTCCTCTAGACCAGTGGTTCTTAACCTCGAGTCATGGACCACTTTAAGAGTCTGACGAAAGATATGGACACCACAACCTTGCATGCAATCAATATATGTACTTTATTAGACTGAAATTGAATTGCCTCATTTATATATAGCATACCCAGAGTTTGAAAACAGTAAATGAGAATTAGTACTTGCTATTATGTAGTGGTACAAGATGGCGGGTGTGCACAGAACGATGACATCAATTTAAATGGTAAAAATGGGTCAATGATGAGTCAAGAGATGCAGGGCACAAGGGGAGAGGGCTGCATAGTGAATATAAATGTTATTTTTTATCTGACTCTCATGGACCCCCTGAAACCCAATCCACGGACCCCAGGTTAAGAACCTCTGCTCTAGACCAACACAAAGTAAAAGAAAATCTTCAGCTCAACAGAGTGTAGTCTGTTATTTGATTTCATAAGATAAGGGGTAAAAGCAAGTAAGCCATCCAGCATTGAAGGGGCACTTACCTGTGGCTGGTTCTGGACCTGGGCTGCCGGTACAATCTGAGAGATGCCTTTGCCAACAACTTGGATTTGCAAGGATCCCTTTCCCAGGCTAATAGTAGGCACTGAGCTGATCACTCCGGTTTTAGCCTGAAACAGAAGAAACAATAACAAAGATGTTTTCTTTAGGTGTACACTCTTCCTCTATGTTGTCACATTCCCCATTGAGTAAACATTGCTTCTGGTATCAGGATTGTGTAGTCAGTACAGATCCTCACCTGGGTGTGCACAGGAACAGCAGAGACAGGTTTCCCCCCATGCACCACAGGCGTCTTCACAGTCGTGTTGGAGAAAACAGACACATCTTGGGGTCCAGGAACAGCAGCACCTGCAGACGAAGCCAGACAAACATAAGTCTTGCAGCATGCCGACTCTTACATGCAACTATACACAGCATATCAGGAGGAAACAAAATAGGATTTTCGTAAAGTCTTTTTCTTGGAGTCCATTGAGGGACATGAGGGACACAAGAAGTCATTCACCTTTGGGTTATACTGTTGAATACAGAAGGATCAGATACTGGTGAATAAAAAAAACAAAAACTGTAGGCCAGTCCAGGATAACTCATCCTAGTTGCCAGCATGCCAGTAGCAAGAGCAGATCATAAACATAGATGGGTGGACCAGTGTCTCTCAATAGACTCCAAGAAAAGGATTTTATGTTTAGTATATAAATCCTGTTTTCTTTCTCATCCATTGAGGGACACAGGAATACATTTGTTTTTTTCTGAAGGTTCAGGATCTATACAATCAACATCTGGATGGTTAATGTCACATTTTTCAACAAAGCCTGTGCCAACCGCTCCTTCAACAGGAGGTCATCTAAACAGTTGACAATTGGGATGCCATGAGAACACAGCAGGGCTAATACTGGGGCCAGCACCTTGGTGAAAGGCTGAATGGCAGGGCAACAAATTTGAATTGCAGAAAGCCTACAGCAAAGTGCAGGAAAAGCTGATTCACTGGAAAGAAGAGGGCATGCATCCTTGATGTCCACAGAAGCCAGAAAGTCTCCCTGGTGAAGGGGGGGGTGGTAAACATTGACCTGGCATATTCCACCTGGAATTTCTGAGCTTGAATCAATGCTTTGAGATTCAAGATTGGGTGGATGTCTCATTTGGGTTCAGGGATAGTGAACAGATTGTCGTGAAATCCCTGAAATGGTTCTGCCACATGAATGGTGTCAATGACCCCTTAATCCAAAAAAATCTGCAAGGGCTCAGCGGAGATCTGCTAGCTAATCTGTGCAGTGACAAAGAAAGGTTGGAGGTGAGAAACCAAAGGGGCAGGAAGCAAAACTTGTTTGCAGCATCTGGAAACCACCTCCTGCACCCGAGCTTCGGAGGTGCAACCTATCCAATTTCTGTAATGGTTAAAAAAATGTCCCCCTTTGGCAAGTGGAAAGGGGCTGTCAGAGGATTTAACTTGCGTGGGCCCCAAGAACTTGCGGATGCACTTGGAGAGTATGATGTGGATGGTGCAGAAGCATAGAAACAAAAAGGAAGAATTTAACACCAAACAAAAAAAGGAAGACTTAGACAGCAGTCTGTTCCTTAGGTTTCTTCCACTACCAATATGGTAGTTTCTTTGTTAAAGTGAGACACTGCTGGGTCCACAGTGGGGTTGGACCACGTCCTAAAAAGTCATCCTCAAACTAATACAAGTCTAGTAAATATAACGAGGGGAATAAAAATCTTGTCGGGGAGTTTCCAATCTCTGTACAGGTGCAAGGAGAAAGTATTTGCAGTCTTGGGGCCCAAGACTGGTAAAAGAAACAGGCTGATCCTCTATTTTTAGAGTGGGGCTTCAATCAGAGCTAAACCAGTCTCTTCGTTTTATGAGTAACGGCAGAAAGCTGCAACTACTCAGAAGCAAGTTTATTTGGCAAGGACTAGAGTGACTCAGAACCAGACGGAGTAGCAAAGCCTGATGGCTAAAAGGCCGTGGGCAGACAAAAAGGGAGAATCTTTAGGGGAAGGCATAGGAGCACACTTGTGGACTCTACTGTCACAGTTACAGTGTTTACAGATCCGAGTACCACATGGTTCCAAGCTGCAGACATTGGTTGTATCAGTGGATGCGCTGCAAGCAGTACTGAAGCAGTCAGCTGAGTGTGAGCTGGGGGCACCCATTACAGGACTGCCCCTCCCAGTGTCTGGAATCAGACATATTGTGACTACGTAGCAGTTGGGCAACCTAAAAGCTCAGAGTATGGGACAAGGCATCAGGTACTCACATGGCACCTTGAAAGCAAGTGAGGGTCAAATGTCTGCAGGTGACCATAATCAAAGTAAGTGAGCAGCAGTGGCATGTCAGTCTGATACCAAAGGCTAACTACAAGGTTGCAAGCTTGCCATGCACTTGCATGACGTCCTGCCGTTCCCTATGAGAGATGCACTACCGTTCCCCATGAGAGACGCACTACCGTTCCCCATGAGCGACGCACTACCGTTCCCCATGAGAGACGCACTACCGTTCCCCATGAGAGACGCACTACCGTTCCCCATGAGAGACGCACTACCGTTCCCCATGAGAGACGCACTACCGTTCCCTATGAGAGATGCACTACCGTTCCCCATGAGAGACGCACCACCGTTCCCTATGAGAGACGCACCACCGTTCCCCATGAGAGACGCACTACCGTACCCTATGAGAGACGCACCACCGTTCCCTATGAGAGACGCACCACCGTTCCCTATGAGAGATGCACTACCGTTCCCCATGAGAGACGCACTACCGTACCCTATGAGAGACGCACCACCGTACCCTATGAGAGACGCACCACCGTACCCTATGAGAGACGCACCACCGTACCCTATGAGAGACGCACCACCGTTCCCTATGAGAGACGCACCACCGTTCCCTATGAGAGACGCACCACCGTTCCCTATGAGAGATGCACTACCGTACCCTATGAGAGAAGCACCACCGTTCCCTATGAGAGATGCACTACCGTACCCTATGAGAGAAGCACCACCGTTCCCTATGAGAGATGCACTACCGTACCCTATGAGAGAGGCACCACCGTTCCCTATGAGAGATGCACCACCGTTCCCTATGAGAGATGCACCACCGTACCCTATGAGAGATGCACTACCGTTCCCTATGAGAGATGCATTACCGTACCCTATGAGAGATGCACTACCTTTCCCTATGAGAGATGGACTACCGTTCCCCATGAGAGATGGACTACCGTTCCCCATGAGAGATGGACTACCGTTCCCCATGAGAGATGGACTACCGTTCCCTATGAGAGATGCACTACCGTTTCCTATGAGAGATGCACTACCGTTCCCTATGAGAGATGCACCACCGTTCCCTATGAGAGATGCACCACCGTTCCCTATGAGAGATGCACCACCGTTCCCTATGAGAGATGCACTACCGTTCCCTATGAGAGATGCATTACCGTTCCCTATGAGAGATGCATTACCGTTCCTATGAGAGATGCATTACCGTTCCCTATGAGAGATGCACCACCGTTCCCTATGAGAGATGCACCACCGTTCCCTATGAGAGATGCACCACCGTTCCCTATGAGAGATGCACCACCGTACCCTATGAGAGATGCACTACCGTACCCTATGAGAGATGCACTACCGTACCCTATGAGAGATGCACTACCGTACCCTATGAGAGAAGCACCACCGTTCCCTATGAGAGATGCACTACCGTACCCTATGAGAGATGCACTACCGTACCCTATGAGAGATGCACCACCGTTCCCTATGAGAGATGCACTACCGTTCCCTATGAGAGATGCATTACCGTACCCTATGAGAGATGCACTACCTTTCCCTATGAGAGATGGACTACCGTTCCCTATGAGAGATGTACTACCGTTTCCTATGAGAGATGCACTACCGTTCCCTATGAGAGATGCACTACTGTTCCCTATGAGAGATGCATTACCGTTCCCCATGAGAGATGGACTACCGTTCCGTATGTGAGATGCCCTGCACATGTCTGCCAATACTATGAGGGTATGAACTCATGGATAGACAGAAAAAAGCAGGGAGCTGCTGGATATATAGGAGACCAACAGGATCACCAGGTATGTTGGGTACACATGCATCCACATAAATGAAAAAAATACATCATAAACATTAAAAAGCACTTTACACAATGGACTAACGTCATTTCTTTTTAGATTTACATACACTTTAATTTGGATCTATGCTGTGTCTGTGCCTGCCCCTTACTAATGCATTATTATGAATGACATACTGATGCACAGGGAGGAAAAGGTTGAAGAGATCAGAGTGTTTTCATTTCTGACAGATATGGGATGCTAAGGAGAAAGGGGATAAACAAAGCGGTCTTAAATGTGTTTTTTTTTATTTCTAACTATAACATTAGCTGTAAACGGCCGCCTATACCCCCCACAGTGGGGCGGTAAAAAAGTATTTAGTCAGCCACCAATTGTGCAAGTTCTCCCACTTAAAAAGATGAGAGAGGCCTGTAATTGGCATCATAGGTAGACCTCAACTATGAGAGACAAAATGAGAAAAAAAAATCCAGACAATCACATTGGCTGATTTGGAAAGAATTTATTTGCAAATTATGGTGGAAAATAAGTATTTGGTCAATATCAAAAGTTCATCTCAATACTTTGTTATATATCCTTTGTTGGCAATGACAGAGGTCAAATGTTTCCTGTAAGTCTTCACAAGGTTGGCACACACTGTTGCTGGTATGTTGGCCCATCCTCCATGCAGATCTCCTCTAGAGCAGTGATGTTTTGGGGCTGTCGCTGGGCAACACGGACTTTCAACTCCCTCCAAAGGTTTTCTATGGGGTTGAGATCCGGAGACTGGCTAGGCCACTCCAGGACTTTGAAATGCTTCTTACGAAGCCACTCCTTCGTTGCCCGGGCGGTATGTTTGGGATCATTGTCATGTTGGAAGACCTAACCACGTTTCATCTTCAACGCCCTTGCTGATGGAAGGAGGTTTGCACTCAAAATGTCACGATACATGGCCCCATTCATTCTGTCCTGTACATGGATCAGTCATCCTGGTCCCTTTGCAGAGAAACAGCCCCAAAGCATGATGTTGCCACCCCCATGCTTCACAGTAGGTATGGTGTTCTTTGGATGCAACTCAGCATTCTCTCTCCTCCAAACACGACGAGTTGTGTTTCTACCAAACAGTTCTATTTTGGTTTCATCTGACCATATGACATTCTCCCAATCCTCTTCTGGATCATCCAAATGCTCTCTAGCAAACTTCAGACGGGCCCGGACATGTACTGGCTTAAGCAGGGGGACACGTCTGGCACTGCAGGATCTGAGTCCCTTGCGGCGTAGTGTGCTACTGATGGTAGCCTTTGTTACGTTGGTTCCAGCTATCTGCAGGTCATTCACTAGGTCCCTCCGTGTGGTCCTGGGATTTCTGCTCACCGTTCTTGTGATCATTTTGACCCCACGTGGTGAGATCTTGCGTGGAGCCCCAGATCGAGGGAGATTATCAGTTGTCTTGTATGTCTTCCATTTTCTAATTATTGCTCCCACAGTTGATTTGTTCACACCAAGCTGCTTGCCTATTGCAGATTCAGTCTTTCCAGCCTGGTGCAGGTCTACAGTTTTGTTTCTGGTGTCCTTCGACAGCTTACTGGTCTTCAACATAGTGGAGTTTGGAGTGTGACTGTTTGAACTTGTTATCGGTATAAAAAGATACCTGTCCACAACCTCAAACAGGTGCCATTGATACAGGTAATGAGTGCAGGACAGAGGAGCCTCTTGAAGAAGGTACAGGTCTGTGAGAGCCAGAAATCTTGCTTGTTTGTAGGTGACCAAATACTTATTTTCCACCATAATTTGCAAATAAATTCTTTCCAAATCAGCCAATGTGATTGTCTGGATTTTTTTTCTCATTTTGTCTCTCATAGTTGAGGTCTACCTATGATGCCAATTACAGGCCTCTCTCATCTTTTTAAGTGGGAGAACTTGCACAATTGGTGGCTGACTAAATACTTTTTTGCCCCACTGTATGTGTTAAGGCCGCAGTCAGAGCATCTCCTTCACCTAGTGTTCACTGAGCGACACAGGCCTCTTCCTGCCATGTTCATGTACATTTAGCCATTTTGCCGAGCACAGTGCAATGCATCTCAATAGGACTTTGCTCAGCAAAACTGACAAGTGCAGCCCAATGCAGGCAGGGGTGAGATGGCCTCTTAAAAGACCCTTTACATCTGTTCTCAGCATCGAGGAGACCCATAAACAGAAGTGCTCTCTCCATAAAGAGGCCGTTTTCTGCACGTATACTGTGGTCCCAGAATGTAGATGCAAACATGGCTTTTCTTAATGCTCAACTGAAACTTTAATTTGAATAAGCAGCTGCATCAAAACTAAAAGGTGTGCAGTCTTACAATTGGTTTTATTTTTTAAGGCAGCCACATACTGAATAATGAAGCCTGTAAGATCCAGCATCTGTAGCATTTGAACCTTTGGTGTTCTGTGTGGAAGCCGTGATCTTACTGCAGAGGTCCAACATACACCCTACTGTGTCAGACCTATATCTCTGCAGACAGCACAGCTCGTGCTCCTCACTGATTGGAGCAGCAAGGGTGATAGACATTTGCAAAGAGATCACTGCTTCATGAAACCAAACTCTGGGGTATCACAGGAATATGGAGTATCTACCACACTGGCCCATGGTTTACTAAAGTTGGATGCCTTGTAGATTTTTAAAAATTGAACCAAAAGCAGAACTGTAGCTCAAAGCAGCATATCTGGTTTACAATGCAAAGGTAACGTGAATTGTTCTCAAGGGCAACTGAATAATAACACCTATGGACAGTGTTTGGTAAGGATGTAATATCATTGCTTTTGCTTGAATTAGATAGTCACATTCAACTGGACTTGTTCTGGTAATGTGTCCAGGTAGACACATTAAGGTGCCTGAGATATGAATGTGGCTATACATACAGGCGTACCTCGGATTACGAACACCTCGTTTAACATAATTTTTGGTTTACAGAAGAAAAATAATGCCTCCGATTACGAATGTTTTTCACAATATGAACGGATTAATTGGTTTTCAATGCATTTATTAATTTTTTTTTAGTCATGTTCCTGTACAGTATTTACGCCTTTAAATAGCACTTTATAAAGAGGTTTGAACAGATAAAAGATTTTTTTTCTTTACTTTTTTCTGACCTCCGGAACGGATTAATTGGTTTTCAATGCATTTATGATATTTTTTTAATCATGTTCCTTTATGCCTTTAAAGTGCACTTTATAAAGAGCTTTGAACAGATAAAACGCTTTTTGACTTTTTTCTAACCACCGGAACAGATTAATTGGTTTTCAATGCATTTACGAATTCATTTTTAATCATGTCCCTGTACAGTATTTATGCCTTTAAAGTTCACTTGCTAAAGAGTTTTGAACAGATAAAAGACTTTTTTTTTTTTTTTAACTTTTCTCTGACTTTCGGAACGGATTAATTGGTTTTCAATGCATTCCTATGGGAAACCTTGTTTCGGTTTACGAATTTTTTGCAAAACAGAAAGTCCTGCAGAACAAATTCAATTTGTAAACCGAGGTACGCCTGTACAGGGGTATGTTCCTGCCACTCAGAGCTGAGCTACTTGGATGAGTCATAAACCCCTCTTCAACAATACAGAACAAGTCCAGTTAAATGTGACCTGAGAAATAATCACAACCTTTGCAGCCTTGTGATTTCCATAGTTAATAAGCGTCATTGCTTTTTTCAATGAATATTTATAGTGAAGACATAGATCCTCCAGCCTACTTACCTGCAGTCTTCACTAGAACTGATGCCTGCTGCTGCTGCTGTTGCTGAAGTAGTGTTGAAAGCTGGGCCACCTGGGTCATGGCTCCAGTCTGCACCTTCGTCAGATCACCGTGGGCCACAGCAGCTTGTTGCACCAACACCTGGCCAGGGGAGTGCCCATGGAGAGAAGCTTGTGTTGGCACCGGCTGCCCCTGACCACTGATCAACACTGAAGATGACTGAGCGTTGTACGGTCCAGCGAGAACAGGGGAGTTTTGGGGGCCTCCTTGCGGCTGCTGAGATGGTATCATCAGACCCTGCTGTTGCATCTAGGAAATGGTAAAGATCAAAAGGTTACATAGTTAGTCTGGCTTAAAAAAGACAAAAGTCCATCCAGTTCAACCATTAAAAGGAAAAAAAAAAAGTTATAATCCTATACCCAGAGTTGATCCAGAGGAAGGCAAAAAAACCAGCAAACCATGATCCAATTTGCTCCTGCAGGGGAAAAAAGTCCTTCCTGATCCCCCAAGAGGCAATCAGATATTCCCTGGATCAACTTTACCTATAAATGTTAGTATCCAGTTATATTCTGTGTATCTAGGAAAGAATCCAGGACTTTTTTTTAAAGCAATCCACTGAACTGTCCAGAACCAACTCTTGATGGTAACTTTAGTTATTTAACAAGGACAAAAGCTCCTGCATTCAGAACATCGAACATTTCCCGCCTAGTTTCTTAGCAGAGATACAGTAATATACAGTGACAACGGCCAGTAAGCCTTAAAGAGTATGTAAACCCAACATTTCATATTCCTGATATGTGCCTGGTGTACCAAGTACTTGTATGAGAAAGTATCCCCTTCTCTTTGTATTGCTTTCTTTGTGGTAAATGCCTGGTGTTTCTGCCAATCCCTCTGTTTTTCTATTAAAAACTGACCACAGTAGGCATGAGAGCACAATTCTCTAGCTGTGCTCTCCTCCAACGATCAGACTTGTCCTGACAATCCCCTTCCAACACAGCCATACATTGGGAAGGTCAGTGTATGGCTGTTTCTCCTCCCCCCAGCTCTCTGTCCTCAGCTGCATAAGAAGTGTAGAGGATATGTGATCACTTAAAAAACGGGAGGGAAAAAAAAAAAACATTTATAATGTTTTTTTTTTATATCGATACACAAATGTTTTGTCTTTCATTTCTATTTTAAACGGTATGGCTTGTTTTACAAGGCAATGGTTTACATACACTTTAAGACCACTGGAGTCATCAGGAAAATCTTAACTGATTGGTTGTTGTTTGCCACCCTCTGCACAATGGTTAGAGAAGTAAACAGTACCCAACACAGAGTAGTGACTGTGGGGATATGAAATAAGCTCCCAAGTGCCACGTCCTAATAAAACTAGTATGGATTGACCAAGGGAAGAAGGCCAGAAATCTGGACTTTAGAGGCACTGCAACAATATTCATTAACCCCTTGACACCGAGTGCACGCAAATATGTGGCGTCTGGGCCTTGACGCCGAGTGGCTGCATATTTGTGTGCAATTAGAAAATACATATGTGCTGAGAGCGTGCGCCCTGTGCGCTCCCAGCACATATGTCTGTGATTCACGGAAAGGTCCCGATTTCCCCTTTCAATCAGGACCTTTTCCGATCATGTGACCGCCATGACGGCGAATCACATGACCCTAAAATCCAGCCCGCCTCCCAGCTTCTGAAACTCTTAAAGGGCCGGGAGGCGCCGGCACGAAGTGGTTAAAATCGTTTCTTTGTTTGAATGTACACAATTACGCAACAGTATATAAAAAAACATCTGCTAAGAATGTAAGACCCCCCATTGGGGTGGTACATTCTATGCAGATACAAATCTCGTAGATAATAAAATCTTGATCCATACAAATATACCGTATCCCGGTAAGGGTGTCAGGTAACATGAAGCAGATGTCAATAATCATAATGACACAACAAGTTTCGTGAGAGTATCGCGTCTTCAGAAATTACTACATAAGAGAAAAGTGAGTATAGATAGAACATAGCATGACTCGTTGTATTGTCCATCATTCATCATTAAATATTCTGAATATACCTTGAGTCACTATGGTTATTGACATCTGATTCATGTTCCCTGACACCCTTACCGGGATACGGTATATTTGTATGGATCAAGATTTTATGTATCTACGAGCTTTGTAACTGCATAGAATGTACCACCCCAATGGGGGGTCTTACATTCTTTGCAGATGTTTTTTATGTACTGTTGCGTAATTGTGTACATTCAAATAAAGAAACGATTTTAATGAAAATTGTAGCAGTGCCTCTAAAGTCCAAATTTTCTGGCCTTCTTCCATTGGTCGATCTATACTCTGCACAATGTTTACCTACAAGAAACCTAAAACTAAAAAGTGGGTGTGGCTGAAAGGGTTAGTTCACTTTAAATTACATTTGCCAACAAATCCCTATGTATTACAGCTTCCTCAGTACATTAATTCTTAGTCCTCGGTTTTGTAAAAGAACAGTTACTTTTCAAGCTGCATATTCCATTGCCCTCCCCTCTCTGTCCTGCAGTAGGCAGATGTACTGGGCATTCGACAAGCGGTCCTCCAAAGTCGTAAAGAAGCACTCGGCTTCGTTCCCTACCCAAACATGTGCAGTTTCCCCCCTTTCACTCTGCAGAACGCTAAACTTGTGAGTTGTGGAGGTGATGTATCCACTGCCTGATACATCCTACCATCTGCAGGACAGAGGAGGGCAATGGAATATTCAGCCTAAAAAACTACAGTAAGTATTCTTTAACAAAATGGACGCTTGTAGAATAATATACTGAGGAAGCTATAATGCATCAGGATGTTTTGGCAACAGTCATTAAATGGTGACCCAACCCTTTATAGGTCAACTCCAGCCACAACGTTCGCATTACTTCTTGACTGGGAAGGAAAAGGATCAGTGCCAGGTTTCTATCACTGTGTCCCCATTGGGGGCATTCCCTAAAAACCAAATAGAAATGCTTTCAGAAGAGAACAAGCACCAGGAGGTACTTTTGTTTCACAGTCTGTCCCTTGAAGGGTGCCCAAAAGGCCTATGCAAATGCCACCTTGCTAGAAGTCTAGCCACAGGAACACCCCCCACCCACATCCCACAATGCAATGCTCGAAAGCTGAGCAACTGATGGACCCCATCATTCCATGTTGGAGGTTGGTGGGTGCTCACCTGAGAAAGAAGTTTGTTCTTTTTTAGAACTATCTATGGGTTCACACCAAACTTTGGGACAGTCTTAAACATGCAGGGCTTTGGGCTTTTCTCTTGCCCATCACAGCGTACTGGGACTGATTTTTTCAACTACAGCAAAGCTAGAATTCACCTCAAACATGTTTTAATAGAAAAGTGACATCAGTAGCTTGCTTAATTGTCATGGGTACTAGCTCAACTTCTGCTGATACATGACAATACACATTTATATATATATATATATATATATATATATATATATATAAAAATTGACAAGTGAATCTGCCCAGATCATGCACACGAAAAGTATTTACAAATACTGAATAAGCAGCAAATGCAAACCCTCATTCATCTACGTATCTGTAAACATTGCGGAGAAATCAATTTTCAAAGTTTAGAACATGGACATTTCAGAATCTTTGTTGTGATCTTTGAGGATCTTAGAGAATGCATTCTTTTGAAAGAGCGTCTGTTGATTGTTATGAATATATACATAGTTTAATGTCTACAGTCTGAGCACAGATGCCCTTTAAGTAGGACCAAACTGCAACACAAATCTAATTTTCTCACCTGCTGGTACCTCTCCAACAACTGTTTCTGCTGTGGCAGGTGTTGGACAATGCCAAAGCCTGGAACTGGCTGGGGGTCATCTGAAAGGTACGTTGCTGCTCTAAGTGGATGGGCTGGGTGGAGGCCTGGGGTTTAAGAGTCTGAGTCTGGAACTGCACAGGGAATGAGTGGGTCTGGGAGGAATCAGAGGTGGGTGGTGTGGCCTGAAGGGAAATTGGGACGCCTGGCCGAGTTTCAGACTGGGGGGTGCTCAGCTGTACTTGGAGCTGAACATGCTGCTGAGGGGATGAGAGGGTTTGCGACATTTCAGCAGACAGTGGCTGATGAGACGAGAAAGGTGTCTGTACCTGAGGCTGAGAAGGAGGACGCAGAGGGTGCTGGGAAGAACCATGAGGTGAAGAGGAGATTTGGTTCTGGATGACAAACAGATTCTGCATCTGAGGAGTACAGGATCGGGAGAGGGGCTCGGAGGGAGGGCGAGAGACACTCTGGGGTTGAGATGGAGGCCGAGAATGAGGACGAGAGGGTGGCCGAGACAGAGGTTGTGGCTGAGAAGGAGGACGTGACTGGTGGGGGGACTGCATCTGTGAGTGGTGGGAGGCCGAGGCCTGCAGCTGTGGGCTAGGTGGGTGAGGTAGTAGTGTGTGGGAAGGCGAGGCTCCTGGAAGCTTCTGTTGTCCGGTGGGAATCTAGATGAGAGAAAAGAACATTAGAGGACCTCTATGTACACCATTGACTATGCCAGAGACTGAACATACACCGCTTGTGCTTCCAGCCATTCATTGTGCTCCAATTTAGCTCACTACTAACCTGTAGGCACACCTTAGGATTAATAGCACCAATACAGCACAAAACAACACTCCTCACATCACAATATCATCTCCTGGATTCATCACTTTATCAAGATTAGAGAAAATTAGACCAATCCAAAGACAGAAGACCCTCTAGAGTTAAAACAGGATTTGCTTAAATGTGTGCGTCTTTATGTACTTTGTACCTTGAAATAAACTGCAACAGTAAAATGAATATTGACTATATCAATGGGTGTAAAAAAAAAAAAAAAAAAAAAAAAAAGAACAATTCTTTCAGGGAAGTCAGCAGGTTTAGAAGAAGCCATGCCAAGCAAGTCAAATTATCCAGTAATCTGTTGGCGGAATACAGGATTCATGGATGTGGTGTCTAAATCATTTTATTTAACTAAAATTGAAATTAATATACATTTTCCAACACTAAGAAGGGTTTTCACCAGGTCTCTGACCTTGACTGCAGCCTCGAATTACTGCTTCCCTATGATATTAATCACTATGGCCAGCAATGCTTTCTCCATACTGCTATAAGGTAAGCAAAGGCATGAATATTTAGTAATGAGCGGTGTGCATACCTAAGTTGGACATACCCAAATTGAAGTTCGGTTGGTGGCCCTGCAGAAAAAGTGAAGGAAACAAGCTGCTGGCTGTACAGCGGCTGCATCCAATCAGATGCAGTCGCTGTTCAGTTATTCTGACAGCTGCCAGCAGCAGGGGGATATACCCATCAGTGCTGTATAGCATGGATGGAGGAATCTGAATGAAAAAAAAAATCTAATAATGTATGGTTAGCTTTAAACTGCCACACAGATGTGCACATTCAGCCTGCTATACTGTAGGACGGGAGTCTCCAAACTTTCCAAAGGGCCAGTTTAAGAGGAAATCCCCAACTGGGGACTGGGGAACTTAGTATAAGGGAAATAAAAACAAAAATTGACTCACTTGCCGAACCCTCCACTAACCCCTGTAGTAGACCAGTCCCCCATCCTCCAGCAGCCTAGGGTGCCGACAATCTCAAGACCAAAGCAGGATCCATAGCCCTGCACTGGATGCGATGATGACGAGTAATAGTCCACCATCAGAGTATGGAGGAGCGCCATCCACTGGTGGAGCAGATAAAGCCTCATACACATAATGAGAATATTGGACAAATGATTGTCCTTTTTTATTTTTGCATGCTAGTCTCATATTGAAATTAAAGAGGTTAAACAAATTCTCCTAAGACAGAATACACCTTCAGCAGTGATGTACTGTATTGCAGTGTATTCTGTCATTTCCTGGCATGCGCGGTTTTGGTCACTCAATTCGTTTTTTCGGTTATCGTACAAGACAAATTTTCGTGCTTGCACCTTCGGATATTTTCCCATGAACTGTTGTGATTGGCTCTCACAAATTGTGTACTAATGAACAGATTATCGGATGATTGCTCTGAAAGTTTTTTTCCCCCCGATATTCTCATTGTGTATGCGGCTAAAGTAAAACGATTTCTGCTCTAGACAAAATGAGCTATTAATCCTTGCAGTGCAAGATTCACTGCATGGAATACTTTAGTTGCCTGGAGTTGGGCTTTGATACCTGACAGAGGTTCTAATCAATAAAAGTGCCAATAATATTATTCTAAAAAAATAAAAAAAAAAACGTTTTGGCTGCAGTCAGGCTTTACATCAAACCTGTACTAATCCACCTGCAAGTAAACCCCATCTGGTGTGCAACACCTTTAGATCCAATGCACTGGAAGCATTCCAATCTTGAAATGTTCAATTCAGTGATAGGAAATCTGTGCTTTGCCCTGCTCTCCCCTCCAGCCTTATTGGTCAGTGAGATCACCTGGAACACTAGCCAATAGCAGTGCACACAGGGGGCAGGCCAAACCACTGACATGTTATGCAAAGTCGGTATTTGCATAATAGAGCGCCTCCTGCTGTAGAGCTTCGGTGTTGCTTTGTAGGATGGTAATCAAGAGGATCTTGTTCTGACATGCCAGATGTTTTGTTTATTAACTTGTGGATCAGTACAGGTTGACCTAACACACCTGTTCCACCACTTCCACCACACCCATTTACCCACCAAAGATCTCATTGACGTGAGCCAAGAAGCCGTGTCTGTACATGCAGCTCATTGCTCCGTCCTTTTTCTGCAGAACAAGCTTTTCACTATTGTGACCTATTTCTATGGAGGAATAAAGATGTCATTCGGATGTACTGAAAGTTAAAGCAGTACAGCTATCGGCGTATACAGGGACAAATCCTTGTGTATTTACTGGCCTGAAAATCAACCTGCATGCATCTAAATGCCTCATCTACTTAAGGCCTCATTCACATGGACGTTGGCACAGGAGTACGGATCGGCCCATCGTCAGCGTTCCTTGCAGGCACCCTGATTGTATCAATGACAGGCGGGGAGCTGTACGGACCTCCATGCACATCCCAGAGTGCACATTTGTGCGGGTCCAATGCATGGAGCAGGACACAGACTGTGTTCTGATCTGTGCATTGGACTCACACGGATCTGCATGCCAGAATGTGCGTAGAGGGTCCATTTAGTCGGGGGGTCTGTCGAAGATTTCAACAGGCTGCCTGCATGCCCCTGCAAGGAATACCTGGGCATCTTGGGGTGGATGAAGACGGCCCTTCACACAGGCATACAGATTGGTATTCCCACGTGAGTGAGGTCTTACGCTGAACTCCAGGCAGACATAGAAGAGCCCTACCACTGCTAAGAGGTCCAGACACAACTTTCCTCAATAGGCTCCATGTACACTGCAGCTGATAAACTCACGTTTAGGAGCTTTTCTGCGTTTTGTTTCAGCAGCCCCTGAACTCTCCCTAATGTTTTCCTATGTGTCCATGTACACATCGTCCTTTACAGTCGTTTACAGACAGTTTAGTTTACATTCGTTTTTTTGAACGCACCAAACTTGCGTTTAGGAGTAGATTTTAGCAACGTTTCAAACGCCAAACACGTGTTAACATGGCTAACCGCGTTTATAAGAGTTTGGAAAAATTTCCATTTCCAGACGCTATCAAGAGCCTTTTTTCATCATGAAAAATGCATGCAAAGTGTTTTCCCGGTACTCAAATGGACCTGGTACACCATACTTTGAGGTTTCGCATGAAAGAATATGTTAGACACTGCTGCAATAATTTCTGCACAGAAATGAGCTGGAACACATCCAAACACAACAAAAAAAAACAGCTCAACAAAATACTGCTCTCTCTGCTTCTGCTCTCTCTATTTTCTCTCAAAATGTCTGAAATAGTTAATTTGTTACTGTTTTTCAGTGCATTCTGGGCATTTTGGAAGGTCTCCTGAGGTTATCATTAAAAACCACTTCTAAACTAGCATAAATGCGGCATGCAAACGCGCATAAACAGACGGTTTCTTTTTTTTTTTTTTTCGGTGTGATATACCATCTTTCCAAACACTTGTAATTAATTTCTACCTCCCGCATATTTATATTTCTGTGGATTATTCTATACATTTTCCTCTGTTTTTCCGCATCTATTGTTACTCCTATTTGTCTTTCCCAGTTTTCTATATATGGAGGACTTATATCTACATTTATTTCAGTGAGAATCTTCTATATTTTAGAGGTTCCGTGTTTCCCATTTCCCCGTGTACCTAATAAGTGCTCCAAAGGATTCCAATACTCTCTTATTCTTAAAGGCTTTGGAAGCTTCCCTATAAAGTGTTTCAATTTGAAATAACTACACTCATCCATTCTCGTAAAAACTGCTTTTTTTTTTCCAATTCCTTAAGTGATCCTATTTCCTCCCCCACCATTATATCCCTTAATGTGCATCTTCCTTCTTAATCCACTTCCCTGTGATACCTTCTTTACCCCGGGGGGGGAACTGTGTGGACTTTAAGGGCATTAACAATGAATTAAATTCCCATCCATCGGTTTGTGTAAACAGACGTTTTCTTAACCCCTTTACACCAGGCCGCACACAAATGTGCGGCCTCCCGGCATCTGGGCCTAGATGCCGAGCGGCCGCACATTTGTGTTCATGTAACAAAAAACATAAGTGCTAAGAGCGCGCTCCCAGCACACATGTGCGGTACTCACGGAAAGGTCCCAGCCCGCTCTTTCGATCAGGACCTTTCCCGATCACGGGACCGCCGTGACGACACATCACGGCAGTCACATGATCCCTAAACCACGCCCCACCCCGCCTCCCAGCGTCTGAAACTCTTAAAGGGCCGGGAGGCGCCGGCAGGAAGGGGTTAACCTATGTTTTCCAGCAGTTTCCATCGTTCAGAAGTGTCCCATGTACATGGAGCCTAAAAGTCAGGGACAATTCAAAGAGTATCGATGCGTTTCAGGGGTCTAATATCAGTCCTTTCATCAGGGCCTAATTGAACACAATGTGAATGGACTTAGAAGGGAGCTGGACCTTTAATGTCTCTTCTTCCAGTATAATTAGAAGCACAGACCTTGTCAGCAGCTATCTTGGCAGCTGCTGATAAGCAGCTTCTAGTCCATTCACATGGCGTTCAATCAACTCCTAGTGACGGGGTCCATTCTTTGCCTTTGAAACGCGAAGAATACCCTTTGAATTGCCCTTCTGACTTTTATTGGAATAAAGTTGTATCTGGACCTCTTAGCAGCAGTGTGGAGCTTCAATTTCCATTTTTGTAACATTACACTACAAGCCAAGAAGACCATGGAGATCCTCTGGGGTGTAGCCTAGCCCAGAACCAGATCATTCACATCAACACTTGAAGATAGCAATACCAATAAGATACATTTACAGGTCCAGCGCTATTTTTCCACTTTCTTCAACAAACTACCGTATATACTCGAGTATAAGCCGAGTTTTTCAGCACATTTTTTGTGCTGAAAAACGGCCCCCTCGGCTTATACTCGAGTCAACGTCTGC